ATGTGAAGTATGATCAAATAGCATAGAAAGAAAGAGCATTTTTTTCTCTATCATCCTGTGTAAAAAGAAACTTTTATCAAGCTTACTAAGTGGTACTAAAATGTCGTTGCCACTACTTTTGGATACCCCTAAGTAGTATACATGTCGATCAAATGAATATATTTCGATCGAATATTATCTGTAAACTATTTAGGATGGGACATATGTTCTATGAAAGTTTCATTGAGATCATTTGTCCAAGTACAAAAAAAGGTTTTTTGACAGAGAATGGAAAGAAAATGGTTAATGGATAAATTGATGAACGAATATAAAATAAGTTTTGTTTTTAGAAGTACATCAAGATTTACATGAATATCATGCTGAAAAAATGAAACGAGTTCAACGTAAATTGGACAATCTTAGAAAAGCAGCATTAGGTTAAATATTAATTTTTGTTTTATTCGAGTTTATTTTTAATAATTCTTTATTTATAGATGAACAAAAATTTGAAGAAAAAGAAAAAGGATTTTTTGAAAAAATGAGATTTCAAATGTTACAAAATCTTGAAATAACTCTAAGAAGTTTTCATATTAGTTATGAAACAAAATCAACAACTAAATTGGGACATCCATTTTCATTTGGTATTACAATTCATTATTTACAGTTGATTGTAACTTATTTTTAAATATTATTTTAACATTTTTATCAAACATATTTATATAGACAACAACAAATAAAGAACGATTAGGAAAAATTAAAGAAAATACACTTGTCATTGCTCAGGTTTTATTATTTAAATATTTAATTTAATTTAAAAATCATATTTTAGCTTAAAGAAATTAAATTGTTATCAATCTATTGGAATACAAATTGTACATCAAGAATCCATATGCCATTTCAATCTGTTCTCGTTAGTATTTAAATCATTATTTTATTTAAATAATATACCTAATTTAAATGGAAATTTTCATAAAATTATATATGAAAATATTCTATCGTTATTTTAATTCTTTTTATAGCTAATAGTACATTAACATAGTAAAAACATTTTTTGACAATATTTAAATAAACAACTTTCGATTTTATAAACACTGTCTACGAATAAATTTCATAACTACTCAACAAAAATCAATTTACTTTTCTCAAAAGAATTTATCTTGAGATAAATTCAACAATCATGTTCTCATATAATATATTTTCTTTTTAAATAATTTATCAGAAGCATAGCACTTTCTAAAAATATTCTAACTGTTCATTAGTAGATGATAAACTAGACGAGTCGAATTAGAATTGATAATAGAATAATGATAACGCTTTAGGAATTTTGATTAAAATTAACCTTAACAATTTGCTTCTAATTTCATTAGAACAAATTAATCTCAATCGATTAAGATTATTTTTAAATTCTAATAGATATGCTATCATTGCGAGTATACCTTTCGAAGCTTATCTCTAAAAGATTTCCATAGAATGATAAAAGCTTTAATAGAAGAAAGTATCATTGACAAAATCAGAAAAGATTGTTCACTTTTTTTTAAGTTCTGTGGTTCGAATGTCAGATATTCTAGTCGTAGATAATCTATGGATTAGAAATAAAAATAATACTAATTTAATAGTAACAACTTATCATGAATTAATTCTAATCGAAATACAAAGAGAATATTAAGGTTAATTAAAAATATTAATGTTAATTCTAATGTGAGATTTCGAAGATAAACTCTGACTCTTTGTTAGAATTTTCTTAATCTTAAAGACATTTTATTTCGATTGCGAAAATTTTTCTGATGATTTATTTTTCGAGTATTTTTTTAAAAATTTTTTAAAACTTGATTCTTAATTGTTAAAATATATTTTAGGATGATCTTAAATCTAAAATAGCGACCGATGAAAAAGTGCCAAGAAGCAATGAAATGAATTATAGTTTGGATATAAAATTAAATGTTTTTTATTTTCTTAATTTTATTCTTTTAAAAATAGTTTTGCATCCAGTCAATTTGAATTTCGAATTAAATATCGCAATTAAATTTGCTGAACAAAATTTTGAACGACCAATCTATCAAATAAAATATAAAATAGAACGAATGAGTTTTGAAATTGATCCAAAACAATTTTCGGATTTACTTGATTTTATTAAATTTCAAAATTACAGTGTTTTCTATGGTATCAACATTTCTATTCTATCATTTTATTATTAGTGTTTTTTTTTCTTTTTTTTCTAATAGATCGATGTCGAGAATATCGTCAATTATGTTTAAAAGATTTAGTTGGAAACACAAAATTAACAAAAGATGAACAAGATCGTATTCAAGTAATACCATTTTTTTCTTTATTTAACGAATATTTTATATTTATTTAAACAAAAAAAAGGTGCTAGAATCAAAATTAGATGTTCTCACAATGGCATATATTCGACATAGTGTTGAATTAGAAGTATATTTTTATTTTATTTTAATTGAAATCTCTTGTTCTCATGATAAATTTTAGACTCATTTATATTCCGATACAAGTGCCTATGATGATTACAGTTGGTGGAGTTGGTGGTGGAATGGAAGAACAAATTCAAATCAAGGTATGAAAAATTAACAAATTTCTATTTAAAAACTAACGAAGGAATTCATACTATTCATATTATCTGTTTCAATTCATTGTCTAGATTAAAATACAAAAAATATTCTTCAAACAAGAACTTTCTTATTCAATTATGCTAATTTTAATCATTTTCCGACCTCTTCAAGTATATTATGACAAAAGCACCCACTAACAAGGAACTACTACCTGAAATTTCTATAATAAAAATATCTTATGGTCTTTATGATATTGTGAAGATTTCAAATGAAAGAGGTTATCTATTGTTAACATATTGGATAGTTAAAACATGAACTAGTTTTCGAGCTTTCATGAGAAACTTATGTTTTTTGCAAGCTTTTTATCTTCGAAAAGAATACTCTGTCTGAACTATAACATTTGATAATATAACAATGTTCATAAGATCTATTCTTCTAGAAAATTTCAAATGGAAATTCTTTGTTACTGTTTTATTCGTAATATCGTTCAATAGTCTCAGCATTCAGTAAAATGAGTATAGATCAAGAAGAAAGGCTTTATTTCATGAACAAGAGAATTTTATTGGAAGATTTTCTTGCTTTTGTCATGCGTTATGCAAGACATTACTACTAAGTTAGCCTATTTTACAGAATGCAGAATATATCATCAAAAGGTTTGTTCTTTTAAGATGAATGATCCTTCTGTATCCAGCCTGTAGAACGATCTTTTCATTGCATTTCTGACAATGAAAAACACTTGTCTCTATATGAGATTCAATGTTAAATATTATAGACACATTACTGTATATAAAAATTATTTAGAATATAATCATCTTAAGAAAGTTGTTTATTACATGTTTTGTAGTAGAAATGAAATGAGGGAAAAAAAAAGTATATGACATCCATAATATGAATAAAACAATAATAAAACAAACATAAAGATGTTAGATTGAAAATGTAAACAGATCGACAACAAGCGACGGATAAGTTTTATTTTATTAGATTTTCTTAAATTTCTTTAATTAACAAATAAATTCAATTTTATCAAATTGATTTGCTAATAAACATGTTTGCCTTTGAGTAAATGTAAATCCAATTCATCTAATTATAATGTTTCTAGCGGAGTATTAGTCGCTGATATGTCATAATCAATTAGATGAGTTCGTTGTCCTGTAGAATAGGCATTCAGTGATGGTCGCTGTCATGAACTCTTTTTTCGATTTTAATCTAGACAATGATTTGTGTCTATCAGAAAAATGTCAGTCCGAACGTCGAATATGAATCGAATGGATGATATACATCTAATATAACTAATATAATTTAATTCTATTATGTATTTAGATCATCATCGAATAATCAAAGGAACTATGCATAATGAAGATGAATTTTTTTCTGAAGAGGTTTTCTTTTTTCTTTATGATAATATTCTATAAATGTTAATTATTGTTTCATAGTTATTAGATATTGATGCACAAATAATAATGAATGAACTGAATTTTACTTTATTATCAGCATCAAAAAAAAGAATGTAATATTATTTTATAATTTATTTTCTTGAATTATTTACTTTTATTTATATTAAATGAAAAAAGTGAAACAGTTAGTCATATTATAATGGATAATAGTCGAATTAATTACAAACGACGATCTATTTCGTCGAGTATCTTGTATAATAAAAGAATCCATAATTTACATTTAATCTATGTTTTTCTTTTATAAAATCTTAAGACTTGAACTTGATTTTGGATATTTTCGAATATTTGGTTTAAAATCTAATCAACAAAATCGACCATTAATATTAACATCATCTTCAAAATCATTCAATTCTTTGATACATCTAGAATTTGAATTAGCTCCAATTCATAAAAAAGCTGATTTTCGATTTCTTTTAATAATGGAACCATTAACCATTATTTATCATGCCGTAAGATAATAACAATATATATGTTTTTAAATCTGAAAAAGCTTTAAATAAATATAAAAATTTGAAAAGAAAAGTATTTTATGTTCTAGGCAACAATCAATGAAATCGTTTCACATTTTGAACCAATTGATAAAAAAACTTGTTCTTCAACTTCAATGTTTGTTTATTGCAAAAGAAATTTTTTTTCAACATATACAATTCTAATATTATTTAGAATAAAACAACGAACTTTTCAACAAATGGAAAATGATTTATCGAATAAGAAAATCTTTGATATGACTATGCAAATCAAAGGTTTATCTCTTTTATTACCAGAATATGGATATTTTAAACAGTTCAGCATTTTATTATTATTTTTACTCTTTTATTTTTCGTTTTTATTTCTAGCGATTCTAAAACAATAATTTCTCGTTTCAGCAATTTAATTCTTAGATCATGTCTCAATAATAATCAACAAGAACAAGATGATGTTTTATTTCAGGTATTGATTATAAAAATGCCGAGTTTTACGAGAAATATTCAACAAAGAATCGTCTTTTTTGTATTTTCAAGTTTCGTTTTTTTTCTTCAGTATTGATATATATATTTATCTGATTAATTAATTAGAGTCATTTTTTTTAAATATTTTTCCATTAAAAACAAGAGAATTTTATTCTGAATATATAAAAAAATGAAATTTATTAATACTATTCATATTATATAACGATAAACATATCATACGAATAAGAGAACATTCCTAACGGCTAGACGCCGTTTAACTTAATATTATAACTATGAACAAGTTTCTGTTAGGCTAAGAAAATTTAATAAGGATTTTGTCACCGTGACAATAGTAATACTTTAATATTGATTTCAAAGAAATATATTTTTGGAAAAAAAATCAAAAGACACAAATTAGACGTAAAATTATCTCGATAAATAAATCGAATTGTCATTAGGAATCGGATGTGTTTTTTCCATAAAATAGAATTTTATCATCAACTTGATTATTGTATCTTGATAACAAAAGTTAATTTTTTTAACACTTATTTCCTTTTTGCTAAATGTTTAGTAGAACAGTCATACTTCTTGGCTATTGTTAAAATGAGCTCCGAATCATTCTAAGAAATGATTTACTTGGGACTTATATCAGTTGATAGAGCCTGAGATTCAGAGTCTACTGGAATCCACTCTAAGCCGTTCGAGAAAAAATATTAATATGATAGAATGCAAAAATTGTGTCCATTGGTCCACTCGAAGGCAACAGCTCAAACAAATGAATGTTCGAAAAAATGGTGTTAAATAAAAATATGGTAAATTGCTGATTGTTCTAGACAGTTCAAAGTATATAACAGAGCTATATTTAACTTCAATTTTTCAAATATTTAGTTTTTGTCGAGATTTTGAATCTGAATTGAGAAGAGTGGAGTAGGAACTTCAAGCTCCATCGATTAATATATCTCACAAGTAAAATAGCGTCCAATAGCCTTTTTGACCGATAGATATATTTCTTTATATATCAACCATAGGTATCAATCTTTTTTTAACGTTCTCTTTGTCTCATTATAAAAAATGATTGTCAATAAATCAAGTGAAACAAGATTTCAAAGTTGAAGACGTGCTTTCGTGAGATAAAATCTTTGATTTATTAAGAACTTAACAAAAATCAAAACAAAATAATCGTATATCAATAGTCTGTTGTAGTGATTGTTGATAGATTGAAATAAAACGAAAAAGAAACGAGTTCTCTTTTGTTTTCATATTGATATTATATTATATAATTGTTGCAGGAACAAATGAAAGAAAGACGATACTATATTAAATACAAATTGTTATTGAATGATCTTGAAATGATTTATTCGGAATCAAGTATTCATTAATAAATATAAATAAAAACTTGATGAATAAGTTCTTACGTATTTTAGACAAAGAACGATATTATACATTACGACCAATTCCATTGATTGACACGAATTTTTACAAATGTATTTATTCAGATGATTCTCAATTAGTCGAGTAATGGATTTTTTTTTTATTAAACATATATATAAATATTCATGTTAAATTAAATGTTTTATAAAAATCGATTGATCTTATATAATAACTAGTAGATATTCTTATTCTATTTTATTAATTAGTTGGCGTATTGCTGTTAAAATAGCGAAAATGGCTCAAGTTGATTTATCAAGAATAAATTTGACTAAAATAATTAATCTTAATCAATCAGTTCCATTATTTTATTCGAATATGATGGAAACAATAAATCGAATTAATCTATTTTGTAAAATATTTATTCATTTTTGTTTTATTTCAATAATTTTATTTGTTTAATTACATTTTAGTCAATATATTTCCTCCTCATACAAGTATCGAATCTCATGCATCAATTAATAAATCTTATTTTGTTATTATGGATCCAAAAACATCCATCGAAACAGGTTAATTAATTCATTTTCATTATTTGTTTTTATTCTATTTTTTATACTTTTTTTTTTATTAAAAAAAAGATTTCTCCTGTCATATATTGAAGACAAGAGATGAAGATGAATATAGTAAATCAATAAAAGTTATATTACAAAATTTATCAATGATACTTCATTCATCTTTAATATCAATTCAGTAAGATTTTAATAAATTATTTTAATTAAATGAATATATTATTTTAGATCATCTTGGCCATTTTATCAAAATAATGATATTCAATTATTATATTCTGATACTGACACGAAACTATGATCAATTTTTCCAATATTCCTATGCATTATTGATTTTTTTATAATAACAAGTTTTCAAAATAGGCAGTTATATATAATACTTCAATAAATATTAATAGAGATATACTGATTAACTTCATATTAACTGTATATTAATCAGTTATTCGAGATATATTTTATGTTTCCATTCAGGATATTGCCATGAATTATATTCTTTAGTAGATTATTTATCGAGAGAAATATCATTAGTAGCAACTTCGTGGAGTTTTTATGTTATTATATCATTGTCAGTTGTTGAAACCAGATGATCATAATTTTATACTAAATAGCAAAGCATTGCTGCATACTCAAAGTAAATAGAATAATACAAAGCAGAAATGTATTTCGAATAATGACAAGTCATTATCATATCAAGGTTTATTTCGGAGTATCTCTCAATTGATTTTTCGACCCACATTCGTATTCCTGCTCAGAGGGTGCCTGTGGTAGTACGGGAAGAGTAGAAAAGTCTATTGAGAGATATTAAGAAATAAACCTTTGAAATATCGTCAAGAGTCTCTTTTCACTTGATTTTAATACAAAACATCGAAATATTTTGTGGGCAAGAAAATGTCTTTAACTTCACTTGTTCTTTAGAAAATCATGAAAAAAATAGGCACGATTTTGTGTGTAATCTGCGCTTTTGGAATGCGTTTAGACGCCGAAAATTTCTTGTTAATTTTTTGGGAAAAAATATTGACAGTTTTTGACCATGAAAAATTTTGATGCTAGTAAGTTGTAAAAATGTTTAAAAAAACAACTTTGATTATGTTTAGTAATTTTAGTTTAATTTTTATTTAATATATCGTGAAAACTAATATGAATATAAAATTTCAAGAGATAATTCAATTAAATATTTTGTATAAAATAGAAATTATTTTGCTTTATTGATATTTTCAAAGTAATGTATAAGACGTTAGTAAATTCATTTAATACATGTTAAATAAATAATTTATAATGAATGATAAATTGAATTATTATTACTTAAAGGTATATCATTAAGATTTGCATTTTTATATCGATTTACATCATAAAGATATTTATCAAAATTTGAATAATTTATTTTTGATATAATTTCATCAGATTTTCTAATTAAATGAAAAAATTTGTATGGAACTCACATATACCTTCGAAGAAAATAGCGAGTGTAAGTTTGAAGTTGAAGCTTTGCTGCTCCCCGACCCCCCCGCCCCCCCCGCCGCCCCCCCCCGCCCACCTCACCACCCCCGACGCCCCCAGCCCCGCNGTTGCGCAGTGACCAATAGAAATGAAGTTATAGGAAAAACGACTTTCTTAGGGTAAATCAAGGTGCAGAGTTCAAACTTGAGCTGTATTCGGTCCCATGTCCTATTGGTTTGGCAACGCGCAATATAAATCAACATTTTAAATGGTAGATTTCACAGTATAATTTTGATATTCAGACAGTCTAGGATGATTGATTTTTATGATTCACTTTTTGAAGTACACGTAACTCTCGGATTTAAATACGAAGTTTCCGCATTTATCTATTTTTACTACTATGTGATCATAGGACGTTAAGACAGTGACAGCTGATAAAAGTGATTTTCTTTCGTCATTAGGTGTTGATCCACTATTAAATCATAATAACAACAGGAAAAAAAAGAGAAAAATCACTGTGTGTGCGTGTGTGAACTTTTCCTGTGCCATCATCATTATTATCATCATTAACTTCAAAACATAACTATTTGTAAAAATTTGAAGATTTTTATATATTTCCTTTTTAAAATTTAATATGTGAGTTAATGCATCTTTAACATTAAATATACATCTATCCGTCAGTGCAAAGAATTATCAAACATTAAACTATCATATAAAACACCTAGATATATCCTCATGTCTAATTAAAACTCGAATCAAAATCTAAGCATAACTAAAATTTTCAAGAAAATTATTTCATGTAAAGATAATCTAATGATGCGATCGAATAAAACTAGGTAAGTTGTACTTGCAACCAGAATATGACTGTTGAAACAAGATTTTTAGGCGAAATCTATACGATTATACTGCAATGTAACCGAGTCCTATGGTTAGTTTTAAGTATATTCGGATTTCAGAAAGTTAGTTTGGAACTATAGGAAACGTAATCATACCACTAGATTGAATTTGTCAAGCTGTACGTAGTACGTACGCAATCATGAAAATAATATCAAAATGATGAAAGTTGTTTTATCATTTTAATGTTAATGAAAAGTCGAAAGTCATGGAATAAAAATATTGAAAAATTGTTACAAATAATATGATGTTTTTGTTTATAAAATCACTAAAATCATGAAATTAATTCAATGAAAATGTTCAAAATAATCATTTAAATAAAATTCGTTTTTTAATTGTCTCAATTGGGAGATTCTTTTATCTGTACATACTGTTTCGATGAAAAGAACGTCTCTCTTTCTGTTTAGACACAAAAAAAAAAGAATTTGAATGGATGTGTATTGATAGACACTTAAATCAGTACGGATTTTTTTCTCCCGAAAAAGTCACAAAAACCTTTAAAAGATAATGACAATCGATTTTCTGATAGGAACTCGGATAAATTAACATTTTCAGTTAGAGAAAGTTCATAAATAGAATAGAAATATTTCATTGACGAAAAATCTTCAGTTCAAAGCTTTCTCAAAGTTTGAAATCGAATTTTATTTCATTGAAAAATTACGTTTGACTGAAATTCAAAAAATTTGAGAAATGAAATCGTGTGTAAAAGAATTAAAAGTAAAACTAATCTAATTTCGTAGAAAATCCATTTGGTTTGATATTGTTTAGTGACTTGATTAAAAAAAACTAAATTAGTGTTTACTTTTATTGAATATCTTATTTCGATAACAATTAAAATGGCTTTTAAAATGGCAAAAAAAGAAAAAACTTGACAATAGATATGGTAACTTTCCAATAATATAAACGAGATTTTTCTTCTCTCATTTGCTCAACGATTTAGTAAAAAAAACACGCAATCATATTTCTCTTAGTGAATTAAATACAATATAAGAAAAAAAAATTTACAATAAAGACTGTTCAACAGCAGAACAAGCTAAGAAATAAAAACACCGGTTTAAAAAAAAATTAGCAGCAACATAAAACTAGAGAGAATTAAAATGGTCAATAGGTGCATTTGAACTTGTTCCACTGCTCACCTTTGTTAATTCATTTAGAGCATCTGTTACCTGTTACAAAAAAAGAAAACAAATAGAAACTTAAGTTTTTATTACGTGAAATTGAGACAAACATTTTTTAATGCATTATGAGTTGATATTAAGACAGAACGAAGACCAGTTAATTTCGCTTGATAATATTCTTCTTGTCTTTTTAATAATAAAGACCATTGATTTTCTTCTTTTGGATACCTAATCACATATTTTATAATTCGATTTTATTTTAAAATAAATTTTTGTGTTTTTTTTTCTTACGAATATCCATGTAACCATGACGGAGAATTTTTTGAAAGATTATCAGTCATTTGATCAATATCATTTAATTTAATGCATAAAAATATATTCAGACTAACAAGAATTAACATTCTTTTTAATAGAAAAACAAATAAGATTTTTTTTTTATCGAAAAAATATTATAAAGATTTCTTATTCATACATACATTATTATACAACATGGAATTAACATATGGGTCTTTGACCATATTGACGAAGATAAAGAATCCGACGATGAAGACGAAACTAACTTTGCACCTAAATTTTAATTATTTATTTTAAAAATTTGTAAAAACAGAAAAAAAGAGTAAACTATTTCGAAATTTCTCAGATCGTTATTGAAATTCTACATCCACTAAAATTGTCGATATGATTGATAATCTCATCCTTATTCGATATCAATTAATTGATGTATTTCTAATTATAATAGATGCTGAAAATCTCTCGTGAGAAATCCATTGAATATTATTCTTTAGAAATTTTTCAATGAAATATTTTTCTATTAAAATTACAAAAAAAAATAATTGTTCCACATAATGACTATTAAACAAAAATAATTTTAAACTTTCATTTACCTCTTTTACATTTTATTTATCAATATTTGATAAGTTATTTAATAGACGGAATATATATATCAAATTTTAATAAATTATTTCAAATATAAATAAACAACATACAAAAATGAAAACAATCATATTATATCAATGTTTAACTTCATTTTATTTTCTATTTTGACACTCTAAAAATCATATTTATATATATATATATATGAATCGAATTTTTTTTAGCAATTATATTCAATTATCACAGATAAATATTTCGAGATTTACTTTTTCTCGTCTTACATGTTGATTTTAAAGTCTATCGTTTATAACTGATATTTATTTTTAGAAAAGTTCTCAGAAAAAGAAACCCTGATTATCACTGGAATTTATCATTTTACCTTCGTTGATGTGAACGATAGACAAGACATACATGAGTCAAATGAATTCATTTATGAGAAAAATAATCAAGCAAAACTATTTTTGTCAAATGTTTTTTATTTTGTGAGAATCTATTATCGATGAGTGACTACATTTATCAACATATATTCAACAGATATTTTATTTAAATCTCGAATCTATGATGAGCTGAAGCGATTAAGCACAAGTACTCAGTGTCGAACATTCGTTTTATAGTTAACTCGTATTTAAAAAATGATTTACTTTGAGTGTGATGAATAGTTTCATTGTGAGTTGTTGGTTTTCGTTGTTGATCTGATGAAAAATCATTGATTGTAGAATTTAATTTAGTTGATTGTTGTTTTTGTGAATGTTTCTTTTTCGATTGATTTTCTTTATCTTTTTCATTATTCATTGTTATACTCGAACGGCGTTGGCGATTCAAACATTCAGCTTCAATACGTTTTACTAAATATTCAATAAAAACAAAAAAAAACAATAATAAATATTTGTTAAAAGAAATTTAAAAAGAAAACTTTAAGCAAAACACCTGTTGATGTTGATATTTCGATTCGATTGTCTTTTTAAAAATCAAAAATAAATAAAAAGCTAAACACATTGGAGCGCAAGCAAATGAATTTATTTAAGAAAAACTTACTCAAATCTGTATATGAATCTTGAAGAGCAGCCATTGCATTTTTTTCGATGAACGCTGAATAAATAGATAAAATATGACGTTTTATCTTATTATCAGATACAAATTTAACTATTTTCGATACATTCATATTTTGTTTAGGTTAGATATTTTATTCTAATATGATTAGTCTTCTGATATGATCCCATCAACAGACCATCGTTCATTCAAAAGAACGCACAAAAAAATTCTCAATACCATATTTCTACCGTAAAACAGAAAGGAAAAGAAACGATGTTTAACCGTGATAATGACGTGATTTAAATGAATACCGATATTATCCAATAGGAATATATTCATTTAATTAAATTTAATTTAATTAAATTAACTTATACTTACATTTAATAATAATCATTAAACTTCTAATATATCTAACTTCACAAGTTACTTTTAAATGTGATTTATTTGGTCCAGTTTGTATAAGACAATAACGAGATGCAACAAAAAAAGCATCAGCATATTTTATTCCTTCATTTCGAACTTCTGTATCGACTATATAATGAGACTTTGATAATTCACATTGAATAACCTATTCATTTAAGATTTAAAAATAAATTAAAACATAATATAATATCATTAATTACTTGTTTTTCATTCGAACAAATTGTTGTTGCACCAAAAACTGCAGCAACATCAACTTTATAAGTACATAGACGCTCTCGTTTTTCTGTTTTTTCATTAAGATTCCATTCAGTTGCATGATAATCTATAGAAAATAAATTAACATAATAAAACACACAATAATAAAACTCCATATGAAAACCTTTAATACGACGTGATGCATGATAAGCAACAACAAAATCATTATCACCAAATAAATAATCAAAAAGACGCTCAACTGGCATTGAATATGTTCGATCAATTAATTGAGTAGCTAAATGGGATTGGCATGGACATTTTGTAAGATAGGTTGTTTCTACATTTAAAAATTTTTTTTTTAAATTTATTTTAATATAAAATAAAAAACAAAAGAAACCTTGAATGATTGGCATTGCTATAAAAGAATTATCTTGTTTATTTATATCTAAATTTGTTTGACGAATAAGTGTATTTCTATTTGCTTGTTCATTAATAGGTATTATACTTATATTATAATCATCATTATAATTATCATCATCTATTTGACGTCCACCACAAGATGATATACTCGAATGATCGTCGATTTCTTCTTTTTCACTAGATTTTGAACAAACTGAATTTGGTGTTACAGCCTGTTACATACAAAAAAAAAATATATAAGAATTATTATTCAATGAAATATTTTATTTAATAAAGGGAGAATAAAAGTAAATATGATCCATCGTTACATTGTGTTCGATTGAGAGTCGTTATTTGAATAAAAATTGTGAAGGACAAAAAGGAAAGAATAACTATTCTCTTTTGATTTGCATGCTTTATGGTTAACAAGATTTCCTTTAAAATGTTTTATATTATAATAGACCTACTCAGTTATTTTAGTCTACTCATAAAACAAGACACAAATATTAAAATAAATATAAAGACAATATTTGATAAAGTTAATTCAATAAAAAAAAAAAAGGGAGAAAGTTATGATAAAAGATAACTATTGTTGAGACATGTAAGAGTTATATCTAAAACAATTAAAACAAAAAACTAATCTTACACAATGTTTATCATTTGTTTCATTTTTCGTTTGTTGGTTTGGAGAATTTTTGTCAGATGTAGAACTATTTTCTTGTTTATTATAATTATCTTCTTCATCAGTTGTCATGTCTAAATCATTTCCGTAACATTGATGAATCATATTCCATAATTGTTGAGAAGATATTGGCTAGAATTTAAAAATAAATTTTTCTTTAATGAAAAATCAGAAAAAGTAAAAATCCAAACTTGATCAATTAAAACGGTTTGCCATATTCGAAAAATCATAGCGTACGTTTTATCACGTGTTGCAAAACTTGCAAAAAAATATTTATCATTTTTATTTGATCGAATTTCAAGTGCATTTGGAATAACTTTAGCTGTTTTTTCTCTTGTGATTCCAACAATATCTTTAAATTTTAAACATAAACTTGTTTCCCATTTAAGAAAATTGGCATAAAAACATAAATAATTTTGTGATATATACATTCGACCTTGAATTAAAATTTCTTTTTGCCATGCACATGAATAATCTTTATTTAAATAATTTACTCTTTGTTTTTAAATATAAATATATGGAAAATAAATATCTTACCAACAATTAATCGTTCATCATTTGGTAAATCTTTAAAAAATTTTCAAATTCTAATTTTGCTTTTACAATAATTATTAAGATTATTCAATCGTAAACAAAAAGAAAAAAAAAATATATCGAAATGTAGTGCTTTAAGAATGCTAATTGCTATTTAGATTTCTTTTTCTTGTCTTTTTTTATTTTGTAAATTTATTAATAAATTAAATCTATTGTTTAGCCTTNACTACATTTCGATATATTTTTTTTTTCTTTTTGTTTACGATTGAATAATCTTAATAATTATTGTAAAAGCAAAATTAGAATTTGAAAATAAGAAATAAAATTCGATATTATATTAATTTAAAAACTGAAAATTAGCAGTAAAAAATCTACCCAATATTTGAGTATCGAAGCTGCTGTTAGAAAAGCATTTGGAGCTGTTGATTTTACTCGTCGTATTTCTGTTGAAGCGATACAATTAAATTGATTGTTTATGTTAGTTGATAGTGGAAAGCTGACAGATTTTCTTGAACGATTTACTTGAATTATTCGACGTCTCATTTTTTCACTTGAATATTTATGAATAATTGAAGATTTTCTTATTCGATTCGAATAACGGAAAGATTTTGTTCGTCTCATTGTAAATGATAATAATGATAAATCATTAAGATTTTGTTGAAGAGTTGATGAATGTCTTTGTTTCTTTTTATGATCATGCTCGTTTGAGTAATTATTATATGTAAATGAACGTACATTTGATGTTGATGCATTTTCAATAATATTCTCATATATAATATTATCTAATGATCGATTTGATGAAATTATGTCAGAATTTGAACATAACGAATTTGATGATGAATCTATTGAAATATTTGATTTAACATTATCACCAGATATTTTTTCACTTGATGAATTTTTTTCATTTTCATTTAAGATATTATCTTTTTCTATATTGATTATATTGGATTTTATTGTTAATAAATCACTATTTAAATCAGTTTTCGTTTGACAATTTCGAAAAGTATTTGAACGAAGAAATAATCGAATTGTATCCATTTAATTTATTATTTAAGCATTTAAAAAATACGAAATATGAATCAGATCGAATATCTTTGACAAATAAATTCCAAAGAATATGATTAATCCATAAAAAAACAACAATTAAACAAGATAGGTCTCTAGTGATGCTTCTTTATGTATATCACATTTTTCTTCTCGTTCGTCTCGCTTTTTTCTCTTTCTCGTTCGATACCCTTTGAATTACAAAAGGCCTAACTATTCTCTCTTTTTCTTACATTCATTTGTTGTTTTTTGAATAAAGAGGTATTTTTATGTAGGAGAAAAATCGAAATAATGTACGATTGTGGGAGTAAAAATATTTCTGATTATTTCATTGTTTGACATTATTATTAACTGATAAAAGAGGATTGAAAAAAACAAAAAAACTAGAAAATATTAATTAAGTTGAAATTTTGTTTTGAAAAACAAAAAGAAAATGTAAATATGAATAACTTACAAAATACCATGGTTTCTTTTTTTTTGTTGTTGATGATGAAGAAAATTTATCTTGTATTTGAGAAGATGTATTATTTTCATTGATTTTATTTGAATTTGTTGATGATAAATTTGATTTTTTTGAAGATTTTTTTTTTTTTTCAAAATATTCATTATTACTTATTGCTGATTCATTACTTGTTGTACTTGTTGATGATGATTCAAGTATTGTTGTTCTTTTATATGAATTAATTGACGATATATCTTCTAAATTTGAATTAATAACTGGTTCACTTTTATTTCTTCTATGATCAATTTTACGTTGTTTTGTTTTAAGATATGATAATGATGATAAATTAACATTATCTGTTAATTCATTTAATATTGATTTATTTTCTTCAAATGATATATCATCACTATTTGATGGAGATGATATAACAAACATTTTTATATTTGATGATTCATTATTTGGAAGACTCATAACATCTATAGAAATCAGAATGGTTTTTTTTCTTCATTTAATTAAATAAAACAAAGACTTTTAAACCTGTTTGTTTATCAGAATTTGTTTCATTAAAATAATAAATTGTTCCTGAGATATTCGATGATTTATTACAAGTTTCAGATGAGATATTATTGAATTTTTGTCGTGGACTTGATGGCAATTTAATAGGTGAAGATATTAATGTCACTTGACTAGATTCTTCTTTTAGTGAACATTCCGATGAATAACTATTTGAAACAATTTTTATTTTATTTTCACTCTTTTTTTTTAAATGAAACAAAAATTTAAAAAAATAATCAAATTAATCCTTGTTTTATCTTTATTCAAATTTAATTAACTTTTTACTTTTACTAACTAGATTGTCAAATGAATACGAACAAAAACCGATAAATATTCTATGATGAACTTATTTTATCATTATTTAAACTAACAATGATCATCTTTTTATTGAACATTGGTATCCTAACCAAATAATAAAGTAGAAAACTATTTATTCTATTTTAAGAATTCTTTTTTTTTCTTTTTTCATAGCACTTTTTTCATTGTAATATGCTAAAACATCTGATTAAGTGGAAGAAAAACGTTTCGACTCACTGAGATAATTAAAAAATTTACTTATCGTAAAGATAATTGCGTTTCGTCTTTTTTATAAAATAGAACAAGGTCAATATGAACATTTTTTATATTTAATTAATTATTTATCTATTCTGACGAAATCAACTTAAGATTAACTCAAGACAAACAATCATAATGAGTAGTAGCAAAGCTATTGAGAGATCACAACTGTCGTAGAAAATTTTACTTCTATTTAGACTCTTAACTTTTCCTCAGTGAAGTGATAGACTTTGAATAATGAATATGGAGCTCCGTCATTAATAATGAGTATTCATAGGATATCAATTCATCAAGATTAAGAAAAATCGTAAAATAATTGTCCTTATGGTTTATGTTCACTGATATTCAATGTGACTCACCTTAGAAAAATCTAAAAAAATTACGTTGTCATAGGGAAAAAAAAGAGCCAGTAGAATCTAAACTATCTATTAGCATACAGTTAAGATAAATAATTATGGAATAACCGAGTGGGCAAAAGTCAGTCGTGAAATAAAACTACAATAACTCTTCATTGATTAAATTGATTCCCATGAGATTTTCATCATCTCATTCTATATAAACGCAACTTTTAGTTCATCTAATTTCCGAGAAGACTATTCTTTCCAATGATTATCATCAAGACTAACACGCATAGAGTGATGTTTTTCGAAATATTGGCAGAAAATCAATTAATAAAGATTGCTTTCAGATCATTTTTATCTCATCATCGATTCTTATTTACATATCCTTAAGATATTTTACATAAATTTTAGTAAAAAAAAAAATACCGTTTTCATATATAAGAATAGATAATGGAATGACAGTGACGTGAGAAAATAATCTTTAATCATTGATTTTCGAAAAACATTTCAAAAGATATTATTTAATATCTAAGCATTGATGATAATTATTTCAAACAATAATTATCGATGATATAATATGAAATAAAACTTACGATTATATTCTAATAAATGATGAAAATCTCATGTCAATTGATTTGATTGTTGAAGATTTATTCCATTTTATTTTTCGGGTGAGTTATGTGAGAATCTTTATGTTAAATAAAATATGAAGAAATAAATTTAATGATTTAAAATCATTTTCGATAAGTCTCAAGATATGATAATTGAAATAATGTCTAATAATTATCAATGATTTCTGTTTAGTGTTTTAATAACCTGTTAACTAATAGAAAAAAGATTTGTAAGATTAACATTTGATATAATCAATAATAGAATTGTTTCTTTTCAAGACTTTTATCTAAAAGGTTCGATTTAAACCAATTGAATTCAAGTAAATATTGACAAAGGACAATTATAATCTATTTCTTTGTTGAGAAAATATTTGTAAAAGATAATTTTAGTCTTTTTTTTTTTCTTATTCTATTGACAAACGAGAAAAAGTAAGTGAAATATAGTGACAAATTTTATTAAATATATAATTTAAGAATTGATTTTATTTCATATAACATTCTCACCTTAAATTTGTTCCATCTAAAGAAATAACAGGTGGAATTTGTGACATATTTATCTAAATCTAAAAAGAATCAATTCACAACGAATATTTTTTTTTTTATTTTGTTCTCCAAAAAAAAAAAACATTGACATTTCATTTTTTTTTTTTGTTCACTTTTTTTTCATATTTAAAAGACAAAAGCAGGAATAACGAAAAGAAAAAGAAAATAAAGATAAATATATTCAGTTAATTTAATAATATAATATTTTATTTTGGTTTATCAATTATGTTACATTGGAGGACGATTTTGTCTAAATGAAAAAACAAGAAAAATTTGTTTTTAATTAAAAAAAAAACAAAAGTGATTAATAAAAGAATAAATCTCGAGCTGAGCATAGCGAAAGCAGAATAAAAATTATGAAAAAATAATTGATCATCTTTTTACAAGTTAACTTGTTGTTATTCTTTGATTATTTTGCATTGGAGCCATTTGATATGTTAATGGTTCATTACTTAATTAAATTACACTTTTTTTAATAAATTTTCTTTTTCTATTTAATAGATTTTTTCTTTCAACATTTATCAAATAAATGTCAATTAACATCGAAATAAGAAAATCATTTGTTGAAAAAATAACTAAAGTCAACTTTTCCGAAGAATTAAAAAATGAAAATGTTTATTTATTTCAGAAATTATTAAAATAAATCTTTATCGAAGATAAAACTCATATATGATATCATTTAGAGATTTATTTAAAAACAAGAATTTTATAGAAAAAAAAAACAAACTAAAACTTGATTGAACATGAAATATTTATTTAATAGTTGATTACTTCAAGCAAGATTCATTTTCTATAACAATGTTCTTTATCAAAGCTTTTGCTTTTTAAAAGAAAAATTCCGAAGGACAATGTCAATCCTTCGGGCAAATGTCATACTTCCGTTTGTCACATTTAATAAAACATTATGTTCACAACAAATATTTAAATTGCTTTTTTCGAGAAAATAAACATGCTTACTCACATTCTATAAGATTGAGAGGAAATCAATATTAGACAGAAACTCCGAAAACTATTGCATAAAATGCTTTCATGTTCGGAGTGCTATAGCTGATGACTAGAGGGAAGAACGAAATCAACAAGTAATTCGGCCTTTCTCATAAGAGACAAGCTGCACCACCAGACCGTTTCTCTTCAATCTTACTCATCTTGTAACGACATTTTCTGATTATTTTTATTTGACTTTCAGTCAAAATTTACGAGAAAATCAGACAATTTGAGAGAAAAATTGCAACCTCTAATCGAGAAGGCCAGACATAAGGCAAATATATTAGCTTTTTTTTCTTGAAGAATTTCTCAAAAGATTTGATTAGATTGATAATAAGACGAGTTGATATATCTTTATGCATAAATGTATGATTTCGCATTTAATTGCATATATAAGAGAGAAAAGTTTTTTTTTTCTTTAAAAACAAATCAATAAAATATTTATATTTGAATAGCTAAGATTTCTTATGTTAAAAAAGTTCTATAACTGATATGTAGTTAACTTTTTTTCAGGTTGTCTTCATGAAAAACTTAGATATAATTAAACGATTTATTCATTATCAATATCGAATATCTTCTATTGGATATAAATTTAACTAAAAAGTGATTTTTTGAGAGATGAAATATTTGTGATTAAAGTCGATTAATTTTCTTTTCTTCTGACATTTATTTCATTCGTAATAAATCTGTCACAATTCAAAGATGGAATTCGAATTGATATATTATTCAGTTTTGTTTTCAATAAAAATAAAAGAAAATCTGAGTGTGAAACTTTTTTAAAAAAGATACTTTTTTAATAAGTTGTCAATGATGGAAAGTATCGATGCTTCTTAAGTTTATTTCTAACAATAATAAAAGATTAATTAAATGTCTAGTGGATTCTCTCTTATATTAATAATGAATAACGACGTTGAATTTTATTCCGTCAATAATATACTAGATATATTTAAAAACAATTTCCTATGACATTTATAGAGAAGTCTACAATTGAATAGAAAATTATTTTTTATAAATTCTATCATATTTTAGTTAATTTACAGTGATAAAAATAATTTGTTTTTTCAAGGTTAGAATTTAGATGAATAATAAAATTGATCAAAATAATATAAAATGAGAATTGAATAAAAATTCTTACGTTTTCCATGTTTTATGAAGAATAAAAAAGACGACGAATGTAATCATACAAACAATTCCAACAGCAATATAAGCCCAACCAAGAAATGGATTTTTTCCTCCCATCCATGACGTTGTACTTATTATAAATTGTTTTCGTCCAGCAAAACTCGTTACTGGATAATCTGTCAAACAAAAAAAAAAAGAAAACCATAAATTATTTAAAGAAAAAAACCTAAAAAAATAAAAGCCTACTATAAGTAACGACAAGACTATAATTTCCTTGTGGTAAACCGTTTTCAAATGTTCCTCCAGAATTTCTTTGTAATTTTCTATATAATTTTCTAAATGTTGGCATCGCAGCAGTTCGCATCCAAACAATAAAATCTTCATTTTGATAACCATTATTATCATCGTTTGATTTATCTAAATCCCATGCTGTTATTTGCCAATTTGGTGGTTTTGGATATGAACTAAAGTCTATTTGAAAAATTAAAAAAAGGATTTATTCTTTAAAAACTAGAACAACAGTATAAATCTTTACAAGTTGCAGCGTTATTTGGATTTTTAAATTTGACTGCTTTATCTGTAGACCATGCTATACCAAGATTTGTAAGTGTAACATTTACATTTCCATTATATAATAAATACAATGTATCTAAAGATTTTCATTTAAAATAATATTTAAAAAAAAAAACAAAAGACAATATAATAAAAAATACAAAACCATTAAATTTTGAATTTGCAATAGCGCCACATGGTGTATAATTTTTGTCAGTTCCATTGTAATTTCCTTTTTGATATGGTTGACAATCACTTGCCGCGTCACCTTCTTTACCTAGTAATTGATTATCATCACGAGATCGAACATAACGACGATGATTTTGATAATAATTTATTAAACCATAGTAAAAATAAACGTCACCCTAGAAAATTATTTAAAAAAAGTCTTTTTTTTTTAAATTAAAAGTAAACAAACATCAAATGCTTTGTCTAAAGAAAAATTGATTGTACAAGTACATGTTTGACCAGTATAATTTGCTTTTTCTAAAACTTGTGCACACGTATCTTGTGTGCCTGTACTGAGACATTTTGTATCAGTATAATCAATATCATATTCAAGTACCTTTTGTTTTTAGAAAAAAATCATTTATAAAAACAATAGTTCAAGAAGAAAAAATCCATACTCGTTCGGATGTAATAACAAGTACAATACCAATAGGAATAAATGTTAAACCAATAATTAGGAACACCGGTAGTGCTGTATTAGCAGTTATTATTGGTTGCCATGCTGGTAAACGTTGTTGTTTAAAAGCCGTATCTGTTTAAAAAAAAAGTATACATTAACAGTTGAAACTAATATTAGTATTTTATTAACCGGCTGGTTTTTTGCTTTTTTGTTGTTCATGATCTTCTTCAGTTTCTGCTTGACTTGGCATCTCTTGTTTTGTTTGCTTTATCAAGGAAATTTTTTTTCAACAAAATATCAAAATACTAATTAAAGTATTTACTTATTTATGTGCATACTTAAAATAAAAAACAAGAACAGAACAAGTAACTAAAAGACAACATCATCATCTACATGATTCTTTTCAAAAAACTGATTACTCATCAAAATTTTTTAAATTTTTAAAAAATATTCTATTATTATTTTGTTAACTAAACTTGATATGATTTTTACTAAATTTCAAAAGAAAATAAAAATGACATGGATAGATGTCAGCTGTTGTCGACTAAGAGATGATTTCTGATATATAGATATGAGTCGTCTTCACAGCTACCAAATCTTCTGGATCCTGGAACTGGCTTTTAACATTTTCTCCTGGTTTCTTGATTTTTTTTCATCTTGAAGTTTAGTGACCTTTTAAATCATTGAGACTATACAAGCCAAAGAAACATAAAAGCAAAGTGCTATGCCCATGTATAAGATGCGATTATTTATCGGATTACCATCTGGATAGTAAAAATGTATCTAATTTACAAAAACTGATTCAATTCATCTTTTCCTATACCAGCCTTGAATGTCTGCTGTTAGTCTATCCTTAGCCATATGAAATTTTTGTGGGATAATGATCGAAATAATACAAAGCACGATCTTGTGGGCTCAAAATTAAAATTTAAAATGAATACTCATTACAATTGCATATGGATACATGTATCTCGTAATTGGATTAAGTTACAGAGCTAAAATTCCAGCTATGGAAAGATCTTGTTGAATACTTTCTGTGGTCGAAAAAGTAACTCTCCAGATGATTCTTAAGACCTATGAGTCTGTCCACGAAATCATGATTTTCATCAAAAAACACGATTTGGGGAGGGACTGATCTCCCAAAACATCTAATCGATAGAAGCCCGGTTAGCATAGTTTTGGAGTACACATTGAGCGTTACAAAGCTACGCAAGACTTGGCTTGGAATCTTGTAGGATGGTTCATGGGGTCTTATTGAAAAAAGATACCCCAAAATGACTCATTTTTCTTAGCAACCTATGTTCGAGTTCATTTAGAAATTTATAGAAAAGTTTCATCATGTGAAATAAATTCTATCTAGTATAAATTAGTACGTGACTCTCTACCCAACTCCATAAAAAATCCTTTGAAAATGACAAAACTTTTTTTCTCAAAAAATCATCATACCCTCTCCATGCCTTTTGCTGAAGAAGTGTTTTTGAAGCCCACGTACCCTCATGCACAGATGATTTTTATTATGTTCAAAGGACTCTTTTAGGGAATTCATAGAAGATTGTATGCTGGTTTCTACTTGATAGAATTTATTTCACTTAATGAAAGTTTTTTATTAATTTCAAAATGAACTCGAATATATTTTCCACGTCAGATAGGTTGCATTTGAGTATCTTTCAATAAGTCTCTCAAGCTGATTCTAGGAGACCCTACTCTAATTCTTGCATAAATTTGTAGTGCTCAGTATGTACTTTAAAAACACACCAACCCAACTTCTATCGATCAGGTATCTCGTGACATCGGTCCCTGTCAAAATCACGATCTTGTGGGAGGTCTGCCGAGTAATATGAAGTATTCAAGGAGTTAAAGTTTTTTCCATAGTAAGTGCTCAATGAGATTTTTCTATAGACAAAATATCAGCTTTCTAGCACGATTTGTTCGTGGAATATGTATATTCACATAATATCGAAAAATGATAATTTTGCCGTATACCTCGTAAGACTGATAAACTCATGCATAGTTTACTCATTCGAACTCATTGTTTTAGAATAGTTACATGAACTTCAGATGTGTACATACTAAGCATTTCAAGTCAAAACAGATTTATTTTCACTGGAATATGTCTATGATAAAAGACCGACAAGATATATGAGTTTTGGCAATAAACGTTCTCAAAATTGTTTAAATGCTTTGGGAACGGAACAATATTTTTTCAAACAGTTTCAGTCAAAGTTCTTAAAACGCTTATTTCTACAACATATTTTAAAATGAGAGAAATATAACAACCAGTGGCGTGCCCAGGAATATTTTCCAGGGGGGTAGGGAGATCGATCCCTTCAAGTATGGAAATACCATGGTGAACGAAAGGTTTTCGTTTCTCGACATTTTTTTTGCCGCACTCCCCTCCAGGTACTACTCTTATCGCTCGCAGGAGGCGGAAATGGGGATTGGTCCCCCAATCCCCTCTCTCGACACATCACTGGTAACAACTCTGACTGACAGCAACTTAAGCCATTATTCCTGTGGACTGGCTCATAGAATAGGACAACTGAATTTCTGATTGTCGTATTCAGTATATTTCACACCACCACTTTTTTATCAAAAAAAAAAAATGTGGATTCGGAAATATTCTCTATCCTCCCTATTTCCATGATATTGCTGTATCTGGGATCCGGTGAGGATCCAGAGAATCCAATGGTGATCCAGAAGATCTCAGGGTCTGCTTTTTTTCTTTGAATGGAATGCACGATTTTGAACGATTTGATGGAAACTTATGGATCTAACTATTGTGTACATTATTGCACTCTCTCTAAACTTAAAGTCTTATTCAATTTTAAATATGAACCTTTTTTATGTACTATAAAGAATAAAGGGAATCTCTACCATTTATCACTATAGAATTCTAATTTTGACTTTCCTTGAACAGCAAGAAATATAGAATCTGATGAAATCTTAGGCTATTTGTCTATATCTTCTCCTTCTCCATTCAACGAAAAGACAGCATATTCGTGCAATTCTCCTTTTCATTCACTGGGGTAAACACTTCAAGTGATATGGCAAGCAGAAAACGAAGAAAAATGAAATTTTTGTAAGAAATGAAAAAGCGAAGTAGACTTGTTAAAGCGATAATGCGTGTTTTATAATTCTTAAGACAACATACCTTGTTATCAAGAATTTCGCTCTAGATCCTTCTTTCATTTCGTAACACATAAACTAAAAGACATGTTAACATTTACGGAACATCTTGAATTCAGATAATTAGGTTTCAAGAAGAAAATAACTTTAATAAGAAATAAAAATCATAATACAAAATACATAATTACATTATTAGTATTTTGATGAAAGTTAATCTTTTGACAAAGTATAATTTGTTTTCTGTGTTCTTTTTTTTATTTTTCTTTGACCGTTCAATAATAAGACTTTTCGAATATCTCAGACCGTCATGACATCATATCCATGTATATATAGAGATATCCTTTCACATCACTTTCGAAATTTTTGAAAAATTTTGTACGTGTTACAGACACATTTTACATCCGTAGGTTTATAATAGTGTATTGGAAACAGCAAGTGTTACATTAAATTTTATGTATATACGACTTAGAGTATAATATTCAAGTGTTTCAGAATTGTAGTGTTTTAAGCTGGTAAGTTGAGATGAATCATGTGAAATTTTGAATGTGCACATTAATATTAGTTAGAGAACAAAACAAAAAAATCGATATCATCTGTAATATCTATTTTGTGTTTTGTAGACATATCAATCTACTAACACGACGTCGATCTTTTTGTTCTGCTTGTGTTGACACGATTTTACGTGTTAATGAATTTTTCATTGTTCATTTTCGATTCACCATTTATTTTATGCAGATTTAATCAAAAAAAATCGTTGTTCTTGTCTCGGTAAGTATTTATATTGATTTTAGCATTTTCGAAATGTAGAAATTTCCATTATTTAATTGGTTTTTTTTTCGTTTTCTTCGTTTAGATTTGTCATTTATTTTCTTCACAGTGGATCAAGCAAATCATTTATTCTCTTTCAGTATATATTTCTTTTTTTACATGATTTTTAAAACTACTCATAATTTTATTTAGAAAAATGGAAACAACAAATAGAAGAAGAACAAAAGAAAAACATACAACAAAATGCAAACACTGAATTCTATGTATATGGATACTTTGTATCTTGTCACAGTTGATTGGTACACAAAATGTACTAATTTTCTGAACTTTGAAGAATATACTACCGAAACGGCTTCTTATCGTTGATTAGTGAATGTTTTATTGTGTTTGATTTTTGTAATGCTTCTTTATAATGTGTATGATGTCAACAGTGAAGTAGAAAAGATTGTCGGAAATTTTATGAAAATGAAGATATTATCCAAAGCATGCATAAACATGATCTTGGTGAAAGATTTTTAATGAACTTTCGATCACATCGCAAATTGAATAAACGATATATAAAAATGGTGTGCGTATGGGCTTGAGTGTGGATGTGTGGACAGGGATGGTCTGATCGAGGAGAGAGATAGAGAGGTTATCCCCCACCTACTCCAAAAAATGTTGGCTGAGACTTTCTCTGAAATTTGAGATTTTGGTCGATCGATTTTCTCCAATATGAGGTCAGTTACTACGCGGTTTTCTCCGATTTTGAAGAAATATGTTAGACAACTTTCTTCAAATTCAGAGAAGATACAAGTTTGGAAAAATGTATTCCACTATTTTCTGTCTTTCATGAAAATTTTGTTAATGACAGCTGCTAGCTTAAGCAAGAAAAAGATCAAGACATTAATATCGCTACCGAACACACTTATCGCTGGTATTCATCAGCAGTACGTGAATGATAACAACAAATGTCTACCAGCTTTTCTCTCCTAATCCCTCCAAAAACTCCGAACAGTCTAATGACTTGTGCAAGGGCATATTCCTCTACGACATTCTGTACTTGAGAGAGCTGGGAAGATGCTTTATTGTTGTCATAATCGTAGGAGAGGAGTGCTACGATTTGGCTAGGCTCTTAATCAATATATTTTCTCCTCATTTTAGTTCAAACTACTTGTTAGTGTATTAGTTTATTTTGCGGCTGTTGCAGTTTCACTGCATCCAAGCCCACATATAAATGCCTTCACTTTCATACACCTGATATTTTCCTAAAATTTCAGATAGTGTATTAATCTTGCACTTTGTCCTATTCGGACTTATTGCCGCAATTCCGTTCATGACTCGAATCTTTTTAAAAGAAACTTAACTCCTTCTTTA